GAAGAACTGCCACAACCTCCGCCGCGAAGATGCAGATCTTCGTCAAGACCCTAACGGGTAAGACGATTACCCTGGAGGTTGAATCATCCGACACCATCGACAACGTCAAGGCCAAGATCCAGGACAAGGAAGGCATCCCCCCCGACCAGCAGCGCCTCATCTTCGCCGGAAAGCAGCTCGAGGATGGCCGCACACTCGCCGACTACAACATCCAGAAGGAGTCCACCCTCCACCTCGTGCTCCGCCTCCGCGGCGGCGCCAAGAAGCGGAAGAAGAAGACCTACACCAAGCCGAAGAAGATCAAGCACAAGAAGAAGAAGGTGAAGCTCGCCGTGCTCCAGTTCTACAAGGTGGATGATTCCGGAAAGGTGCAGCGACTGAGGAAGGAGTGCCCGAACGCCGAGTGCGGCGCGGGGACGTTCATGGCGAATCACTTTGACAGGCACTACTGCGGTAAGTGTGGGCTGACCTACGTATACAATAAGGCCGGCGGTGATTGAGCCGTCGGTATTGGCTCTTAGCCAGTAATTTCACGTGTTATATTGCCATTTTGGGAACAACTTTTGGGATGGTTTGTTGTTGGATTGTGTTGGATATTATGTTTTTTTTTTTTTCAAGTTGTGAGATTGAGATTTAAATTTTGAATTTGTCTTACCTTTGAAATATTGTTATTTACCTTTTGTGTTCATTCTTCTTTTTCCAAGAGCATTTGGTAATTCTTTTAACCAAGGCCCTCTTAAATGATGGAAAGGAGCTTAAGAATTCTGTCTGGATTCATTTAAACCTGAAGATTGATGCATATTTTAGCAATGCTTGGTGGCTAAACCTGAAGATTGATGCATATTTTTTCTCCAAATTTGTATTTGATGGTCAATCGAATGGTGATGGGTCTTTGGTCTAGGCACACTGCATAGTAACATGATAATCTTTTAAAGTAACCAGTCCTTGATTTAATAAACTAAATGTGTGCATTCTATGAATTTCAACAATGTAAGACTACAATGTAAGACTGGGGTGTAATTGGATCATCCAAAGTTCTGGTAAATTCTCCAAGAATCCAAGTTTAAGCAGACAGTTTTAATCTTGTTTATTTCCTGCAGAGACCCTGCAAAGTGAGAGATAAATGACTTGCATTTTTAATTTTCACTATTAGTGGCAGCAGAGTCTTGCCATAAAATTTTATCTTAAATAGCTATGCATTTTTCAGTTTTGTTATAATTGCAATCCAGCTGAACAATTAAAATTTGTAAAGGAATTACATCCTGTGAATTGAAGATAGTTTGCTAATATGACCTCACAAAAGTTTGAGGAAACAATCGTGAAAAAGCTGCATGTTTTGCATATGTTAGCAACACATAAAGCCCATAGCACGGTATGTGAACCAACGCCAGAGCCAAATACCTGGAAATTCAAAGTTTCATTAGACAAGAGGTTGCCGTTGCCTCATCTGATAGGCTGTGATGGATTAATGAGTCACAGTATTCTTACCATACAGGAGCCCATGGAGTTGAAAGATCAAGAAAGGGATACGGCCACCTACAAAGGTTGGTTAAATAAATAATCATAAAATGTGAGCTAGTTTTTTTGAACCATATTAAAAAACATTGCAGCCTGTTCTATTACCATGTAACACAGCATGCATGAAGAAGCCACTGGACAACAATGTAAGCGCAACTCCACAGTATGAAATAGACAAGGCCAAACCAGTCGAATGGCTGAAAAATGTGGAGATTCAGTATGATTAGCTTGGAATACTTTAATTTCTGCCTATTAAGTGGCCATGACTAATTTAACACCTGGTTACATGGAGGGTATTAAATTTCGAGTTTGCAACATTACCAAGCTATTGAGGGCCGACTCGAGGATGAGAAAAACTGCATTTATGGAGTGCATGCATCCAATCAACTGCCAATTTATTTACATAAACAAAATGTTCAAAACGTCTGGAAATGGAGAAATAGATAGAGGCTGGATTTAGAAGCGTATGAAAGAGATGTACTCACTAGGGTGAGCTGAAAATTTTCACCCGTCATGAATGGGAGCAGAACACACCAAAAGACAATATCTGTAAGCATAACAGCCCCTGCACAGGTCTGTTCAATACTGATATCATACATCAACAAGAATAATCCGAATAATTAGCAAGAGATTTTAACAGATTTGCCAGTGTAAAATTAACAGATTTCGATTAAATCCTGCACATTGCAGTTTTCTGGTATAGATTTAACATCAGCGAAAATTAATAAACAAGATTTTTATATAGAATTCGATGTTAAATGATGTGAATAGAACAAAGTTGAGGAGAATAGAGTGGTCTGTTTCTGATGTTAGTTAATTTTCACACATCATTAATTCATAATTGTCATCCCAAGTCATAAGCTGTATACGATAGATGAATTTAAGTGTTACAGTAAAGAACTAGGCGAAAACACTAGAAGCTTGAACATTACAGTAAAATAACAGAAGCTTGGATATCTTAACCTGATAAACAATTTGCAAAAGATTTTCCATAAATCCAAGGTCCTCAGTAGGTTTGGTAGCCGAAGTTGTTCCATAGTTCATCTCTTCCAAATTCTTTTTGAGAAATCCATCTTTCTCCCCAGTGCGAGTGTGTTCAATCTCATGAATCTTCGGCACCGACACAATGGTCGCAAGCTACATTTGAACAAACAGACATTATCAAAATGTCAAACTTTCAGACATCTTAATTAGATCACTAACAGCTCGGAGAAATACGTACTGCAAAATAGACCATGACCAATGCAAAAGTCCACCTGCCGACCACAAGATACACACTAAAATCAGCTGGCGTTTGAAGATTTATATATTGAACTGAGATACAAGAAGACTTACTAAACTGTGGTACCTGATGAAATCCTACCTAGATTTTCAGAGAAAGAGAGAGAGAGAGAGAGAGAGAGAGAGAGAGAGAGATGTACTTACTGGGTGTAGAAGAAGAAAGCGAAGAATCCGAAGGCAGCAACAGTCTGGTAAAGCAAGAAGGCCATGGAAAGGAAGGCAAAAGCACGGTACAACAGCAGCCACCGGGGATGGAGGCTCCTCCAGCATGTGGCCCACAAATCGGATGGTTCCACTGCGGCCCTACCACCGCCACCGCCGGTCCTCTTCCGGAGGAGGCGGATTGCGATTGCCGTGGGGAGGATGAATATGAGCGCACAAACAGGCACCTGCCACTGCAACCACTCCATTTCTCTATATATTATTTACCAATCACTTGGAGCCTGGATATTGGGGCTTTTTGTTTCAGATTTTTTCAATCGGTGGACCCTTTTGGAGTAAGTAGAAGAGTTGGAGACGATGGAAGAAAAAACCCGAAATTGGAGACTGTGGGTGGGGGCCATGAATTAATCAAACACAAAGCGACATTGGGCTTTTCCTATTGCTCTGATAAAGGCTACTTGTATTGGGCTCATATTTTGTTACATGGAAATGGGCCATATGTAAGCATAGCCCATTTTAGCTACTGAAAAACTTATTTCACTTGCAGAACAGTCGTCGTCTTCGTAGCGGCAGTAACAGCACCTCAGAGCAATGATTCTGCTTACTTTCTTCTCTTCAGTTTGGCGAGTGGAGACAGCAGCTTCATCCTCGTAATCCCTCTCGATTTCACCACAGGAGCTTTTATTTTGAGCCGTCGAATAAAAGTAAATGGTAATCTTGCACGCTCTCAACAGAGGTGCAGCTCTTTTTGCCCGCCGTTTGCTGCAGCCCCAAAGCTCCGATATTTTCACCTATATATGCACGGTTAGTTTCCTATTTAGCTATTACTGATATTTTTCTGATGGTGATGGGAGTTTTTTCTGGATGCAAATCTTGTCTCCCTCTTTTTTCTCACACATTCCCTAATTTTGTTGGCGGTGGGCTTCTTATTTCGTTCTTTGTTATTGTTCGTAATTTTAATTCCAAAGAATGATAACACTTCACTGTAGAATAGCTCAGAATGATAGAAATTATTTCCCTAAGAAGGATGCTCATTGTGCTTTGCCTTATCTGACAATGACCGGAATCTGTTATATAATTTGGACAACATTATTAGGCATCTGCGTTTTTTTATCATTTATAGACCAAACCTTTCAGCATTTGTTCCCACGGACAGAAGCATCTTTGATAATCCCCATTCAGAGTCGTCTGGTCGAGGTCATTAAGAATAAAGGA